AACAGCTGGCCTCAATGAGCCCCAGGCCCAGCACCAGCTGCCACCAGCCTAGATTCACAGTTTAGCTTCACCTGAAAATCTCCAAGTCCAACACAAGTAGCAGCCATCTCAGATTGATAGGTAGCTGTGGGCAAAACACAGGTGGGCTGATGTTGGTCTGCACCACCTGGGAAACTCCAGCGCCAGCACCCCCAGTGGATAGCTACAGACCATGTTGGAATACCACCACCCTGCCCCTACACAGTTATCCTTTGCAGAGGTTGGTGGTAAGTGATCAGAGCCAATCCTTGCAGCTGACGGTCCTGGGTAAATCCCTCCCATTGATTTTCCAACAGCAACCAAGGCTCAACTAGAAGAGGAGAGTGTGCTCAGCCCACATGAAGGGTCACCTCGAGTACCCAGCTTGAGGGATGGGAAGGCTGTGCCAGTGGACCCTACAGGACACCTACTTCATTAGACCGACCACACTACCAAGACCCAGAGTCAAAGCAGCTCCTCCTAATACATAGAAACACAGTGTGGCTGCCAAAGCAAGGAAACAAGAAACATGACCCAAATGAAAGAACAGATCAAAACTCCAGAAAAAGAGCTAAGTGAAATGGAGATTAGTTATTTGTCAGATGCAGAGTTCAAAACACTGGTTTTAAGGATGCTCAAGGAACTTAGTGAAGACCTCAACAGTGTAAGAAAGATCCAGTCAGAATCTAAGTATACACTAATTGAAATGAAAAACAATTAAAAGGGAAATAACGGTGAAGTGTATGAAGCTGAGAATCAAATCAATGATATGGAATATAAGGAAGCAAAAAACAACTAATCAGAACAACAAGAAAAAGAATCCAAAAAAATGAGGATAGGATAAGCAGCCTCTGGGACAACTTCAAGAGGTCCAACGTTCACATAGGCATGCCAGAAGGAGAAGAGAAAGAGCAAGAAATTGGGAATCTATTTGAAAAAATAATGCAAGAAAACTTACCTAATTTGATGAAGGATATAGACATGCAACTCCAGGAAGCACAGAGAGTTCCAAACAAGATGGATGCGAAGAGGCCCACTGCAAGACACATAATTAAAATGCCTAAGGTTTAAGATAAAGAGAGAATCTTAAAAGCTGCAAAAGAAGTTAGTTACCTACAGGGGAGTTCCCATAAGACTGTCAGCTGATTTCTCAAAAGAAACTTTGCAGGCTAGAAGGGACTGGCAAGAAATATTCAAAGTCATGAAAAGCAGGGACCTAGAGCCAAGATTGTTTGTCCCAGCAAAGCTATCATTTGTAACTGAAGGACAGATAAAGAGCTTCCCAGACAAGAAAAAACTAAAGGAGTTCATTATCACCAAACCCTTATTACATGAAATGTTAAAAGAACTTACTTAAGAAAAAGAAGACCAAAACTATGAATAACAAAATGGCAAAAAATACAACTCTATCAACAATTGAATCTATAAAACAAACTTAGCAAACAGGAACAACAGAGACAGAATTATGGATATGGAGAGCATTTTGATGGTTGCTAGATGGGAGGGGATTATGGGGGATTGGGTGAAGAGGTGAGGGGATTAAGAAGTATAAATAGGTGGTTACAGAATAGTCATGGGTATATAAAGTTACAGTATAGGAAATGGAGTAGCCAAAGAACTTACACACATGACCCATGGACATGAACAATGGTGGGGGGATTGCCTGAGGGAGTGGGGGTGCTGGTTGGTAGGGGGGACACGGGGGGGGAATCAGGACAATGTAATAGCATAATCAAGAAAATATAATTTTTTTAAAAACTGAATGTCTCCCTCAGGTCCACACTGTTAGCCAGCAGTCCAGACAGGATTTGAACTAGACATGTAATATCAAATCCTGCTTTCTTGTCCACTACACTGCCGTATCCAAACCTTTTTTTTTTTAATTATATAAATTATTTAACAAATTATATAAATGTGTTAAAAATTCACCATTAGATACAAAAAGGACCCTGTACCCAGGTCATTTGATCCCTATATCATTTGTCAGACAGACAGCCAGGTGTCTGACAGAGTAAGCAGTCACCCATCAAAGGGTTCTATTGGAGAAGGCTGGGGCTTTCATCTCAGCCTGGAATGTCACCATCCCTGCTGTACAAGAAAGAATCTTGAAATCAAGATGCACGAAAGAAAAATGGAAAAGTAAATACCATAGACTTGACTTCTCCTCTTAGTAAACTTAGTAGTTTTCTAAATTATGTATTGTGGTTAAAGTAAAATTATATAATTGTCTAATATTGTCAGTATATATAAGGGAAATATTTAAGACAATCATATTGTAAACCCAGCAGGATAAAGGTAGATAAAAGTTTTTACATTTTAGTATTTTGATTGCAGTGATGATTTACATGAATACAATAAAATGACATAGAAGGGAACTATACACACATTTTACTAGTGTTAGTAACCTAGTTTTGATATTGCACTTTAGCTGTATAAAATGTGACCATCGTGGGAACCTGGGTGTAGGATACATGGGAACTTATCTCTTCTATTTTCACAACTTCCTATGATTATAATTATCTCAATTTTAAAAGAATAAAAATTTTTGTTTGATCACCTATCCACACCCATTGTCTTCTAAGACCACTATAGGTGTTATGTGATCCAGACACTAGATCCCCTAACATTGTGCCTTTTTACATTCTCCTCTCTATAAGGAGCATTTTTCTCAAGGCTGTGTCTTCACTTCTTCAAAGGACATTTCTATAATCCTTCCTTGTCCTCCTAAGTCTGATTCAAACATGTCTTCTCTGTGTACCAGTAGTATCCTGCACATGTGTTCCTCAGTCATATTGCAATGAATAGCTTATCTGTTTTCCCACTAGACCATGGTGTGCCACAAGAATTCTTAAAACATGCAATACCTAACTATTTAGCCAGAGGCACTGACCTCTTTTCCCTTGGATTGTCAAATTAAAAAGTGCTAGTAGCATTTTTTAGTTTTCAGTTGTTGGAGCAAAGTCCTGTAAGAAAGGCTGTTGGTTCCATCCCTCATTGATGTCTATATGGGAGGCAACCAAGAGATGTTTCTCTCCATCTTTTTCCCTCCCTCCCCTTTCTCTTAAAAAAAAAAAAAAAAAAAGAATGACAGCAGTCAACAAAACAGTAAGCGTCTGGTGTGAATGAATCAAAATACCTTTTATTTTTTGGTCAGACTGGCAAAAAATACGTTTTTCAGGGCAGGGTGTACTGTGGAATTTTAGTCATTAGTTTATGTGTGCCATAAGATTAAAAAGGTTGAAAATCGCTGCACTAGATTATGAGTTCCTAGGAAGATAAAAGAATAGTGGCTTATCGTCAGTCTCAGAGAAGATTGCCTTTCATCTACACTACTAATAGCCCTGAGTCAGTTTCACTGGCCTAAGTCACTATTTCTCTGTGCCATACAGTTTATTCATTTCCTCCTTTGTTCATCCTCAAGAAAACTTAGTCATTTGTACACTCTTTCCATACATTTACTTTACTTGTTTTTACTTTTTGAGGCCTAATTGAATTCACTGTAGTAGGAGGGAAAATGTCATTCTCTTACATTTAGTTTTTATTCCTGAATATTGGTACCTTTGGTTGCATTATACAAATGTCATGTACTTGACACAAGTGCTTAAAGTTTAACAGGAATTTTTAGTATGAGGTAAACTATTCAAATATTTTTATTTAACATGGTTAAATTTGATATTCTCTTTTTCCTTAAGGAAAATAATTTTATTTTTACTGAATATTGATATGATATATTTGGAAAATCCAACATAATTTCACATCCAGAAAGAACTGCTGTTGTAATTGTCCTTCCAGTTAAAATACTATGTTTATGTGTGTGTGTTTTATCAAAAAGATTTTTATAAAATAAACTGTTCCTGAGTTTTCATTTGATGTTATAGGCACCTTTCCTCATTAATACCTACAACTTCTGAGGAATGACTGTATTATAATTTTTAATACAGCTCCTCAGTGGTGGACCTATATGTTTGCCATTTCTTATTGTTAAGAAGCAACATGGTACTGATGAATAATTTGTGTGGTACATGTTACATTTTTGAACACTTGATGATATTGTAGAAATCTCAGAAGTGGTAACTGAAGGAAAGTGGGGAAGAAGGAAATTTAGATATGGGGATAGTAGAGAAAAGTAGAGAAGTGGTTCTCAGGGGATCAAGAATTCAGATTAATGCCAAGTTTTTGGGGTTTTTGTTTTGTTTTTTTAACTTGTTTTGTAATTATAATGAGTTTTGGGGAATTGAAATAAAAGTATTTTGTGAACCTTAAGAAAATACAGTATTTTTATTTGTATATTTCCTTTAGCAGAGCAGTTGAGAATCTAGTTTTTAAGTCAGACTTTTGGAAAAAAGAAAAAACAGCAAGTGCTAATAACTTTCCTGGGAATACTAAAATCTACCAGTGGAAGTCTACCTATTTGGAGGTGCTCTGATTTGCCAACAATCCTTCAAGACAGGAGACACGTTTAGGGTTTGTTTGTTTGTTTGTTTGTTTGTTTTTTAACTTTGAATTTAGAAGATTTGGGGAACTGATACTAGGAGGTAGGTAGAACCTATGGAGAAAAGAACTTCTGGAGAAATGCGGCTCTGGTTTGAGCCTTTAAGTTGACATCTTAGACTGATCAGGATCTGTTCAACTGGAAGAATTATAAGTTTGGTTTCCTGTACCTGAGGTGACTTGCAATGAATCCTGCAGTACGCAGGACCTGAGTACCTATCTTCAAGGGTAGTGAGGAAGGCAGTGCACTATTCTGGAATGCAGGCTGCTGAACATAGAAGGAAATTTAGATATGAGGGTAGTAGAGAAAAGAAAATCAAGGAGGCCGAATTTCTTTTATAAAGGAAACAGTTTGATTAACCTTTGATAAGGATCTAAGTTCACAATGGTGTTCTTGGAATTAACCTTTTCTTTATGATTTAAAAGGGATTTTTATGAGGACAGTCTTTAGTTTCAGAGGTTGAACAAGGTTATTTTATTTCTCTTTCCAGAACTCAACAGTAACAATTGAAGAATTCCATTGCAAGCTCCAAGAAGCTACAAACTTTCCTCTTCGTCCTTTTGTGATTCCATTCCTCAAGGTAATTTTTATTGGATAATCACTGAATATAATTTTTTATCTTAACATTTCCTCAAGATCTGCTACAGATCCCTGTTCTGTGATCTAAATTGGGACATCATGCAAATTTTCACATCTTTATTTTAGTTTGGGCTGCTAGAGAAATGTGAGTGCAGTTTGCAGGTGATTCTTATACTTGATGAGAATTGCAAAAGCCTTGAGTTTTGGTGTGTATGCAGACTGCTGGTAACACACAGGAGAAGGTAGAACATAGAGGTGAGTGGGCCAGAGAGGTAGGGGTGGAGTGTAGGTGGGACTCTTCACAGAAGCTGTGGCCAGAGGATGAGGAGTATGTTAACTGAGAGGAGGAAGTCAGACAAAACAGGCCTTTGCAGTTCAGACTTGTACCCTAAGGCAGCTATTTTCAACCTTTTTCATCTCATGGCCCACATAAACTAATGACTAAAATTCTGGGGCACACCAAAAAATACATTTTTTGCCAATCTGACAAAAAAAAAATACACATAGTTTTGGTTCATTCACACCAAATGGCTATTGTTTTGTTGGTGGCTGTCATTTATTTATTTAACAATCTAAGGTGAAAGAGGTCAGTACCACTGACTCAATAGTCAAGTGATGAGTAAGACAGTGTTAGATTTATATGTAATATGCCCCTTTTAAAAATCCTTATTTTGAAATAATTTTATGCTCACAGAAAAGTTACAAAATGCTACAAGAAAATTTCTGTACCCCTCACTCAGATTCTCGAAATATTAATTTTTAACCAATTTGAATTTTTTAATTCATAAATCACGTTTATTCTGTTACAGTTATCTCAGTTTTTACCCGTTTACCCCCCTCCACCCATCCTACTCCCACCCCCCACTCCCACAGTCAACTCCCACTCTGTTGTCCATGTCCATGGGTCATTCATACATGTTCTTTGTCTAGTCCCTCCCCCTTCTTTCCACCATTGTCCTCTTTCCCCATCCCCTCTGGTCACTTTCAGTTTGCTCCATGTTTCCATGCATGTGGTTTATTTTGTTGAATAGAATCCACTAATAGGTGAGATCATATGATATTTGTCTTTCATCAACTGGCTTATTTCACTTAGCTTAATATTCTCCAGTTCTATCCATGTTCTCACAAAAGGTAGGAGTTCCATCGTTCTCTTCCTTCCTTCCTTCCTTCTTTCCTTTCTTCCTTCCTTCCTTCCTTCCTTCCTTCCTTAAATGCAGATTGATTATAAAGTCTCAGCAATTAAACCAACATGACACCAGCACAGAAATAATCAACCAGATCGATGAAATATAATGAGCATTCTAGAGACAAATGTATATGTCTATCTAACAATGTAATATAGGATTAAGTTGATATTTCAAGTCAATGGGAAAAATTGGGCTTATTCAGCAAACAGGGTGCATAGACCACTATTACTTGAAATAAAACAAATATAGAGCGCTATTTCACACGTCATACAAGAAATTTTCAGGTGAGTTAAAAATCAATATGTAGAATCTAAGGAGTTTTAGAAGAAAATAGAACTAACATTTTTCATGACCTGAAGTAAAATATTCAAACCCAGAAGGTATAGAGTAAAATATTGACAATATGACTATATTAAACATTTAACTATATAGTAATATAAATATTTAAAAAAGTTAAAAGACAAGGGATAGAATAGGAAAGTATTTGCAACACATCTAAAACATGGTTAATAGGATTTGGGGGGTTTTTTAGGGAAAAAAGTTCTATAAACCTTTAATCAATAAATGGATAAAGAATACCAAAAACTCATTTAAAGCTTTTTAAAAAAATAGACGTAGGCAAGAAATATACAAAAACAGGTTTAGTTTCAACAAATAATAAAGGAACAATTAAAATAACACCAGTCACAATCAGATTAATACGTATTAAAAAATATTGGTAATATCAAGTGTTGGCATCTGAGAAAGGAACTGGGTATTCATAGACTCTTTTTCTTCATCTTAAAGCAGTCCCTCTGGCATATCTTGCAGTGCTAGTTTGGTGGAGGTGTATTCTTTTAGCCTTCTTTTGTCTGGGAAACTCCTTATTTTGCCTTCCGTTTTAATAGAGACCCTTGCCGGGTAGAGCAGTCTTGGTTGCAGGCCTTTGCTTTTCATGACTTGGAATATTTCTTGCCAGTCCCTTCTGGCTTGCAGTGTTTCTGTTGAGAAGTCAGCTGCTAGCCGTACGGGGGCTCCCTTGTAGGTTACTACCTCTTTCTCCCTTGCTTCCTTTAGGATTCTCTCTCTGTTTGTCTTTGATATTTGCCATTCTAATGATGATGTGTCTTGGAGTGGGTCTCATTGGGTTCCTCTTGAATGGGACCCTCTGTGCTTCCTGGATGTGTGTGACTTTTCCTCTCTTCAAATTAGGGAAGTTTTCCATCATTACTTTTCAAACAGGTTCTCTATCCCTTCCTCATCCTCTTCTCCATCTGGTATCCCTATTATACAGATATTATTACATTTCAGGTTGTCCTGCATGTCCCTCAATGCCTCCCCATTCTTTTTGGGTCTTTTTTCATTTTCTTGCTCTTTCTGGGAGCTTTTTTCTACATTATCCTCCAGCTCGCTGATTCGGTCCCTCAGCTTCATCTAGCCTGCTTTTGATGCCTCCTACTGTGTTCTTCAATTCAGAAATTGTATTCTTCATTTCCTCTTGTCTCTTGTTGATAGTTTATATGTTCTTTTCCATGCCGATACAGTTTGCAGTAAGTTCCTCATAGTTTCCCTGTAGTTTTTTGTAATTCTCTCTGAGCTCACTGAGCTCATTGAGCTTCCTTAGAACCGTTGTTGGGAACTCAATACCTGATAGTTTACTTGCCTCTCTTTCATTTAGTTCTCTTTCTGGGGATTCCTCCTTGCCCTTTGACAAGGGGGTATCTCTTTGTCTTCCCATTATTTGTGAGACTCTTCTCTTTTGCTCCTGATTCTTAAGTTGATCTGTCTTGATTTCCTGACTTTGTGCTGTGAACTTCTATGGTTGGAGACCACTGTTTTTACTTTCTGGATCTGCCTCTGATGATGTCAGATGTCATCCCTGTCTGACCTTAGGCAGTCTGTTGGAGACTTCCAGGAATCTACTGTTTGTGGCTGTCTCCTTCAGCTGTTAATCTGTTCACTCTGCCCTCAGCAGGCCACCTTAGACAGCTCAGGGCAGGGCGGAGTCCCTCCTGGGGGCGGGATTATTGGGTCCTCTCCAGCTGCTGCTCTATGGGGGAAGAGTCCGCACTGGGGTCCCACCGGCTACTCTTTCCATTCTCTCCCCAAAGCCTCCATCCCCAGTCTCTCCTGAAGTGTCGCCAGACCTCTCTGAACCCCCTTACCAAGAGATCTACTATCTGTGGCAGCCACTCTGCACTCAGCAGGCAGCTTAGACAGCACAGTGCGGGGTGAAATCCCACCTGGGGACGGGGCTATTTGGTCCTCTCAGTTTGGGTCCTTTGACGCTGGTGCTGCTCAGGGGGAGTGGTCTCTGCCTCCTGTGAAAAAGTTTCACAGGAGTGAAAGGGAGGAGTGACCTCCTTCCTGTCTCTCCTCAGGTGTCCCACTCCCCCACCCCCACCCCCCGCCTCCCCCCCACTGCAAATAAAAATTTATGTGTTGGCCCTTTAAACGGTTCTTTGCGTCTCCAGCCGCCTGTGTCAGACAGAGAGCAACCCTGCCGCTTTTCGCAGCTGGCTGTTTTCTGTGTACTTTTTGGATTCTGGTGCTGTGGGCTAGAGATCCCCACTTTTGGTTTAGACCCCGCTCCTCTCAGGGGGATCCAACTGGCCGTTTCAGTGTCCTGCTGGTGCTGGCGCCTGTGGGCGCCCACCCGCCTTCCCGGGTCTGTACCGCACTCCTTACCAGTCAGATTGCGCTAAAGCCGATTCTTCTGTCTCCGAGGTTACAAGACTCCTCTCTCACTATTGTTCAGTTGTTTGTTCCAGGTGGTTTCTCCACAATTCAGTTGTAAGTCCATGTTGGTCCTGGGAGGAGGTCAGTGTGACTTCCACTCACTCCTCTGCCATCTTGATTCCAAACTACTAATATTTTATCACATCTACATATATTCCCTTTGTCTGTAGATTTATTTTTTTCCTCTGAAATGTTTGAGAGTAAGCTACAGACATGATACATCAAATTACTTTAGGATAGCCCTGGCTGGTGTGGCTTAGGGGGTTAATTGGGCATCATCCCACAAACCGAAATGTTGCTGGTTTGATTCCCAGTCAGGGCACATGCCTGGATTGTGGGCCACGTCCCTGGTTAGGAGCGTGTGAGAATCAACTGATTGATGTTTCTCTCGCTCTCTTTCTCCCTCCCTTCCCCTCTCTCTAAAAATAAATAAAATTTTAAAAAATTAACAATGTATAATTATCAAATCAGAAAATTAACATTGATAAAACACTATAGACCGTATTCATGTTTCACCAAATGTTCCACTAAAAGTACGAGACGGTTAATTTATAAATGTACCTCAATTTGGATTTTTCTGACACTTCCTCATGATGAGAATTGGGTTATACATTTTAGACAGTAAATAGCAGGTAAGGTATCACTGATGCTGTCAGGAGAAATAGATGTTACTTGGTCTTATAATTTGCTGTTGACTTTGATCACTTGGTAAAGGCTATGTTTCATGCTTTTCCACTGTAAAGTTATTATTTTTTTCTATTAAACAATAATTTTCAAAACAGGTGTCGTTATGACTCACAGAGAAAAAATGAACCTGTATCAAAGATTTTACTTAACTCATTAATCAAGGAAACAGTAAGGTCTTAGAACCAGTTTGAGGGAGAGCCCAAAGAACAGACACATTAATAGATCAGGATTATTGATATGAATGAGCACACAGAGGTATAATTGGCTTTATATATGGTGGGCAAGGGAAGTCAACTGAAACTGTACTAGACATAATTTTATGCAAGTCCATAAACAATTATTTTGCATTGTTATCAATTATCTATAGTTTGCAGAGTTATGCATAGCTTAAAGGCAGTGAAAGACTGTAGTCAGATACTGGTGTACTCTAGACCAGCCAAAGTTTAGGTACCTGTAACCCAAATCCCCAGCCCACAATATGGTTTTATGTAGCCCTGGTGAGAATTAGTTTTATGAGTGAACATTTGTAATTGATTTGATAATAGGGAACACTAACTTCGAACCCCAATTAAGTTGCTTTTTTTAATCCAGCTTCTTGTCAAATGAATTCCATTCTTTTTATTGGCCTGATATTACCAAAAAACTGTACTCAAAATTTTTTTTTATATTTTGCCTTTTGTCAATACAAAATTTGAAAATTTGTTTTCTATCTTGTATATGAGTATCCACATAATATCTTCAATTTTGCCTCTTAACCTACAAAGCCTAAATATATGGCCAATAATTACATCAAGAAGATGGGTCACCCTGCTGAAGGACTATACTGGTTTTAAAAACTCTTTAAATTGGAGCATAGCAGACATACAGGAGAATGTATGGGTGCATGGCCTGTGTTATAGCTGTGTTCTGACAGCATTGAAGCCCCAGCCTTTCAGAGTGGTCTGTGATGCCTTGTTTAGCCTTTAAACAGCTGTGCTAGTTCTTTCTTGGTCTGTTTTCTGTATGTCAGAGCTAGTAGATGATTATTTTCCCCCGAGACGCCGGAATCAGGAAGGATTTGTGAAATTTGTGTCATTAGGAAAGAATTAGCTCTTTTAAAAAAATAATTCATCAAAGGATACATACACATCACAGATGTAAGGATCTGGCATGGTAGTTTTTTCAATTAAGTTTTTACAGTTGCTGCAGATTGAGATTATAGAACAGACTTTAAAAGTGTCTTATATTATCAAGTTCCTTATCTTTTTTTTTAAACAAATACTTTTTTTTAAGATATTATTTATTTTTAGAGAGATGGGAAGGGAGGGAGAAAGAGGGGGAGAGAAACATCAATGTGTGGTTGCATTTCACTTGCACCCATTTCCTGCCCCCCCCCCCCCCCCCGGAGTTGGCCCACAACCCAGGCATGTGCCTTGACTGGGAATCGAACCAGTGACCTTTTTGTTCGCAGGCCAGCACTCAGTCCACACCAACCAGGGCAAATTCCCTATTATTAACTGTATTATTTTGGAAAACAGCATGAAGTAAGTTGTTATGGCAGCTTTTTGGCTAGCATTAGGGTTTTTGTTGATTTATTTCTGCTTTAAAACAGTTGCTAATTATGGTGCCTGATAAATTAACCTTTGGTAAAGGCATAACTGCTTGCATATATTAAAAATCTCCTTTCACTTGCTCGTCTGTTTCCATTGGAATAAAGACTTCTGTAATGGGCTCAGTCTGAATTGATTTTAAACTTGGGGTGAAAATATAATCCTTAATTTTTTTTAAAGATTTTATTTATTTATTTTTAAAGAAGGGAAGGGAGGGAAAAAGAGGAAGAGAAACATCAATCTGTTGTTGCATCTTGCACGCCCCCCACCAGGGACCTGGCCCACAGCCCAGGCATGTGCCCTACACTGGGAATCAAACCGGGAACCCTTTGGTTCACAGGCCGGCGCTCAGTCCACTGAGCCACACAAGCCAGGGCCAAATCTTTATTTTTTTAATGGAGTATGGCAAAAATACATTTATATTTGAAGGAATTAGAGTTCAATTGAAAGAGTATATGGCTTGTTTGGGTTTTTTTTTTAATGACTTGTCCACATTAAAAATTTTCTCAGTTTGAAAAGAAGGAAAAATAATCAGTACATAATTAATTATCTTTTCACAAGAGAGAAAAACATGCCCAGTGAGGATGCCACACCAAGAAATTGATTCTGCCCATGGGTTACCTGTTTATCCTCAGCCTAGTTTCTAAGGCTTCATTCCAGTCATTCCCAATACTTTTTTTTAAAAACTTCATGTTCCAACCAAGCTAGAATAATCACTGTTTCCAGAATTCCATGGCAGTTATCATAAAGAAGTGAAGGGAAGGTTAAGCAGTACTCAGAAAAACCAGGCTTTGCAACAATAGATGGAAGAGTGAATTCCTCCTACTTCCGTGAAGACATGCTAATTTTGTAACTAACCAAAGTCTTCAAAAATATATAAATTTTTAAATTATTATGTTTAACAAACCTTTATTGAGCTTTGTTTGACTCTGTACTAGGTCACAAAAGTAAAGAAAGTGCATTCTCTTCCTTAAGGAGACATATTTTGTGGGGACAAAAGACAAGTCAACCAGTTGTTCATGTTCAGTGTAATAGATGTCACTTTACTCACAGAGGCATATGAAAATCAGAGTGAGAAGGAAAGAAGGGCTTTGGTCCCGTGTCACCGTGTTTGCGAAAGCCTTTTGAGGTGCTGGGCCTTGTTGCATGGGGTCCAACACCGGGAAAACTGCCTTCCAGACCCTGCCTCTTCTTTTCAAGGCCAACCTGCCCCTGCTGCAGCGAGAACTGCTGCACTGCGCTCGAGCCGCCAAGCAGACCCCATCCCAGTACCTGGCTCAGCACGAACACCTTCTGCTCAACACAAGTATCGCATCACCTGCTGACTCTTCTGAGCTGCTCATGGAAGTGCATGGAAATGGCAAGAGGCCCAGTCCAGAAAGGTGAGCCGTGTAGAGCTTGGTTGTCCTTCCTTTTTGGAACCACTCTGAGCTTCCCTTTTGCTTATGAAACAATATGTGATTACTGTGGTTATATTATAGGTATGGATTCAGAATTCTAAGGTTAGTATTGCTCTTTCCCAATAATAGGAAACAGAATAGTTCTCAAATCTATAGGTGTAGCTCCCAAACATAATTATTTTTCAAAAACTTTTCAAATGACTCTGTATGCCTCTGGTGAGAAACTCTGCTCTGGGGCATTCTGTGTGTCCATTGCTCCAGAACCATAAGAAACAATCTGTCCAAGGCACATTTTCTGATATATGAGGGTTTTTTTGGTTTGAAGTTTTTTAAAAAGATTTTGTTTATTATTTATTTTTAGAGAGAGAGGAGGGGAGAAAGAAAGAGGGAGAGAAACATCAATGTGAGAGAGAAACATGGATTGGTTGCAACCGTACGTGCCCCAACCGGGGACCGAACCGCAACCCAGATGTGCCCTGACCAAGACTCAGACCAGCAACCTTTTGCTTTGTGGGACAATGCCCAACCAACTGAGCCACACTGGTCAGAGATGATGTGTGAGGTTTTGTAAAAGTATAACAATTATTGATACTTTCTAATGAATCATTACTCTGAAGACTGAAATTATATTAACTTATTCTGGAAATTTGAGTATGAGTGTCTACCACAATATTTTATAGTTTCTCAAGGAAGCAATATTTTAATAGTGGGAAACTGTAACAATTGAAACTAAATGACTAAAAGCCCTACCATTCACAAGTGTATTAATTATTGAGACTTTTTTCTCCCATGTGGAGAATTGTTTTCAATAACTGACCTCCACAGTATCATGTTCTTGTCACATAAGAAAACACCATCATCTCCTTAATCACTCCATTTGCTTCCTGAAGTTTAGATGTTTCTGCCTTATTGTGAATGAATTTGACTCCTCATTTCATGGTGGAATAAATCGGCAATTTTCATTATCTCTCTGGCCTCTGAAGACCTTTCAGTTCTTGCCTTTTATCAAACCTTTCCTAATGGTCCTCCTGTTTGTGAATGTGTGTAGCACAAAGTAGATGCTCAAAGACATGTTTACATGGACACTTGTTGACAGACTCAGATATGTACTTCCTGTTCTTGCACAGGAGGGAAGAAAACAGTTTTGAAAGAGATACAATTCCTCCTGAGCCTCCTGCCAAGAGAGTGTGTACAATCAGCCCTGCTCCTCGGCATAGTCCTGCCCTCACTGTGCCCCTTATGAATCCTGGGGGCCAGTTTCATCCTACACCTCCACCTCTTCAGCACTACACCTTAGAAGATATTGCAACTTCCCACCTGTATCGCGAACCCAACAAGATGCTAGAACACCGAGAAGTTCGTGATAGACACCACAGTCTTAGTAAGTGACATAAGACTGTTTTTCTTTCTTTCTCTTTTCTTACTTTTTTGTCTATCCTAATCAATGTATAGGAATTTTTTTTTTGTTTTTATATCATTTTGTGAGTCCCATACTATGTTTTGAATCATTGCCTTAGTAGTATGCTTATAGTTGGTATGAATCTGTATGTGTTTACCTGAAAGAATTCTATTTACTGTATTCTTCACACTATCTTCAAATTTAATCTCAATTTCTAATAGGTCTAAATGGAGGCTATCAAGATGAGTTGGTAGACCACCGTTTGACAGAAAGGGAATGGGCTGATGAATGGAAACATCTTGATCATGTAAGAATCTTACAGTATGTAATTTTCCTAACTATTTATTACTTTCTTAATATTACCAAAAGTAATAGTGTGTGTATATTTCAAGTGAACTTAACCAGAGCCACAGTGTCTTTGCAATAAAAATTGATTTATCTACTATTCCCCCAGCTAAAATAGCTAAGAGTAACTCCCAAATCTTTGTGGTGGGTGATCACTTCAAGTCATAACCAAGTAAAGTCATGTAATAGAGGTTTGTAATAGAAGATGTAGGTCCCAGCTTTGCCACATTCTACCATCGTGTGAAGGATAAGTTGCTTCGCCATTTTTGGCGTGAATTTTTATAACTTAAAAAATAATCCATTAAATCCATTCCTTTTTGTTTTAACTCAGCCCTAAAAAAGAATGAAATCTTGCCATCTGCAACAACATTAATGGATTTAGAGGGTGTTATGCTAAGTGAAATAAGTCAGACAAAGACAAATATTGAATGATTTCACTCATGTGGAATCCAAAAAAACAAAAACAAAATAAATGCACAAGCAACAGAAAACAGGAAACAACTCATAGATACAGAGAACAAACTGATGGTTGCCAGAGAAGGGGTTAGGAATAGGGGGTGGGTGGAAAAAGTGAAGGGCGATTAAGAGGTACAAACTTCCAGTTATAAAATAAATGGCATGTGAATGTAATATACAGCATAGGGAATATAGTCAATAATATTGTAAATACCTTGTATGGTATCAGGTGGTTATTAGACATGGTGGTCTCTTTGAAGGTATAATGTGTTGAGTCATTGTTATACACCTGGAACTAATAAAGTATTGTGTGTTGAAATATATTCTCTTTTTTTCACCCTGGCTGGTGTGGCTCAGTGGATTGAGTGCCAGCCTATGAAACAAAAGGTTGCCAGTTCAATACCCAATCAGGGCACATGCCTGGGTTGGTAGCCAGGTCCCCAGTTAGAGGCATGTGAGAGGCAACCGATTGATGTTTCTCTCCCTCTCTTTTTCCTTCCTTTCCCCTCTCTATGAAAATAAATAAATATATACACACACACTTTTTTAATTATAAAAAGAAATGTTGTGTTTGAATTCACAGGAGGGTTGTAATATGTCAGGTGCTTATCACAGCACCTGGTATATAGGAAGTGTTACATAAATGGAACTTCTCCAAAAACAAATGAGAATTGGCATACTAGTCCAGAATGTTAGTCCAAGTTCTCATCCCATTATGAGAGAGGGTTTCCCTTCTCACTAAAAGGGGAAGAGAAGATGTAGTACTTTATTAAAGTGTACGTACAGTAGCTTTCTCTATCTTGAGTGATACTGTCTCTGAACATTATTTATGATTGCAGTTTTAATAAATCCCCAGCTTTATCAGATGTCTTTAGGCAGATATATAGTGTAGTTTCACCATAGTCTTTAAAGGGCCACATTACAGTGAGACTCTGGCTGCTTCAACCTTTAAAAAACCAAAGAAGTGTTATTTTGAAATCTAAACAAAAAATAAATGGGCGTGTGTGTGTACACACATTTATATACACATATATATTTTTTAAAAGAATTGGTAAGAAAGGCTTTAAAGTAGAAACTTATTATTGCTAAATCTGTAAGATACTTAAACCTTCATTCTTTATATATTTTGTTGGCCTGTCCTTGATTTGCCACATTGGTGTTTAAATGTCCTCATCTTGTCACTGCCTAACTTCCTCTTCGATTCAGGCTCTGAACTGCATTATGGAAATGGTAGAAAAAACAAGGCGCTCCATGGCAGTTCTGCGGCGCTGTCAGGAATCTGATCGTGAAGAACTCAACTACTGGAAGAGACGATATAACGAAAACACAGAGATGAGGAAAACTGGGAGCGAACTGGTCTCCAGGCAGCACAGTCCTGGGAGTGCAGATTCTCTCAGCAATGGTAAGAGGGCAAGGCCGACTTGTTATATTTTACTTTAAAGGAAGATGGTGCTAGAACGTGGAGTTTAAAAAAATCTAGATGGTTATGAAGAGTAAATAATAAAATACAAGGTCTGTCCAGAAAGTTTCCAGCTAAGAACTATAAGGAATAGAGACATTTATTGAAGAAGATACAAGAAACATTATACATAGGACAATGATACCTCATTCCCCTTCAAAGTAGGGACCTTGGGACCTCACACAGTTCTAATTGCCATCAGCTACCCCATCATATTTTCCTGAATCTCATTGATGGCCTGAAATCTCTTCCCTTTCAAAGGTGATTAAAGTTTTGGAAAAAGCCAGAAGTCTCAGGGCACCAAATCTGGGCTGTAAAGGGGCTGAGTCATCTGGGTGATTTGATGTTTCACCAGAAAACTCTGCACGACACGTGATGCATGAGCAGACACGTTGTTGTGGTGAAGCTGCCAATCACCAGTTACCCATAGCTGCAGCCTTCTGAATCATCCCAATAGTTTCTGTGGAGGAATGTTTAACCTTAATGCAAAATTTGATGCGGATTTATTGCTGTACTCACTCAGTCATTTCATGTGCTATGGCCAGAGTACACATGCTCACTCAACGACGTCTACCACCCCCACTGACTAGGACAGTGAAGTCATCATTGTTCACCAATGTGCATTCCAGTTCACTCTCCTTGGCTGCCAGGTTACATCGATGTTGCGCAAACTGTTCTCGTTATATCAACAATGGCTGGACTTTTTCCGGACAGACTTCGTATGTCAAGGACTTAGTACCTGACATGTTCAAGAAATAATTGTCTTCCTCTGAAAAATGAGAATATTTTCTATTTTGTTCTGTTTTTAACTATATATGTGCTAAATGATGATCAAAAAGTATTTGGTTATTAAATTCAGCCTGCATGGATGTACTAGGTACTTTCACATACATTACATTTAGTGTATTTTGCTGTCTATAATGTGCACTTTTTTGCCCAAATTTTTGAGGGAAAAATAAGGATGTGCATTAAACATGGGTAGTGTTAAACCATGGGAGCTCATTGTTCACGGCAAAATACGGTATTCCTCACAGTAGCCCTGAACGTGTTTGCATCACTTTTCCCTCATCATTATCCCACTCCCCATCAGGAGAATGCCACTTACCAACCTCTTCTGGGAGGCCTTCTACAAAAAGTTTTAGTATACTAAGCTGGGTTGTCCTGTCTTCCCTTTTCCCAGCCTGAAGCAGCAACTGTTCTCTCAATCCAGGGTATATCCAGGATGACACATCTATTTCCTGCAAAGTGTTCCATCATGTTCACCTAATAACTGAAAAGGTACCATATCCAAATACAGAGATAAATGAGAGGCCATCTGTGATCAGGCTCTTTTCCCTCCCACCCACTTCAGGCTCCTGAGTCTCACCAGGTAGAATGAATCTCTTATGACAGACCTAGCCTGTTCCACAGGAGAGAGCTGTTAACCTCAAAAAGGCTACCAAACAAATTGATGCAAAGACATTGGGATCCCACTCCCCTCCGTCATCCACAAAAGTGAGTCCTGAACCAACATAGATTAACAACACTGTGTGGAGTATCTAGCACAGCAAGACATCAAAGAATACCTACAACAACTAGAAGAAATTTGCCCAAAGTTCACCATCCAAATCACAACCCTTCCATCAGTGAGTCTGCATGAATGTAAAGTAAGATGTATGGTCGTGAGTCATCTCTTCTCCAGACAGGATTGCAGTCCTTGCTTTGCGTTACTTCTTATTCATCTTTCTCACTCTTTGCTTGAAGGTTTAGCTTAGGTTGGCTGTATGTTCCAGTTTGCCTTGCAAAGTCCCAGTTTATATGTGTTATCCTGTCATAATAATTATTAACTCCTTCACTCTCAAATGAGGATAATTGGGATGATAAATTGTCGCTCTAGGATATCTATTTATGCATATTATATGTATTTAATATTTTATTTCATTCTTTTTTAATAGTATTGTTGCAGTGTAGAAGGAAAGCATAATTCATATTCTAAACAAGTGTACTATTTAAAATGTGAACCAAAACCACTCCAAAACTACTTGTTACTGGTCTGTGATAACATGAGACACCTACCCCAGAATGTATCAGGCTCCATTAGCTTCACTATGAGAAGAGTCCTCTAAATTAAGCAGTGTGCTCAGAGATGTAGTTGTTTTGCATTCTGGCATAAGTTCCGTATCTCTTCTTGGACCAAAAAAAAAAAAAAACCATTTTGCAGCCCAGCGCTTTGAGTACACTATTGTACACTGAATAGTGTTTTGAGGTATAACATACAGACAAACCAAGGACTTTGAAATAGCTGGTAATTCATGTTTTGAACGTTTTGAATTTTGCAGAAATCCCTGGTGGACTTTAAGTATTTAGTTTTTAAGTGTTCTGATGATTTGAGAGAAATTGACTAGAGACTGGATGGTATTATTACTTTACCCACTTAATATAATGGAATATAGCCCTAGCTGATGTGACTCAGTGGATTGAGTGCCGGCCTGTGAACCAAAGGGTCGCTGGTTCAATTCCTGATCAGGGCATATGCCTGGGTTGCAGGCCAGGTCCCCAGTTGGGGGCGTGTGAGAGGCATCTGATCAATATCTCCCGCATCACAATGTTTCTGTCCCTCTCTTTCTCCCTCCCTTCCCCTCTCTCTAAAAGTAAATAAATAAAATCTTAAAAAATATATATGGCTGGATACTGATTTTTTTTAATAAAAAAAAGAAAGAATTCAAATCTGAAGGAAAATTACTTTAACTTAGAATTCTGTACTGAACCAAAAGAAGTGTTAGCTTAACAACCTACAATTTTTCAAGAAGTGCACCACCCATTTACCCTTTGCTGTGGTGTCTACTGTTGGGAAGGATATACCCCAATACAGGGAAGTAAACCAGAAGGTGGAAGACATAGCATCAAAGAAACAGGAACTAACTCAAGAAAGAGAGCAGGAAGGAATCCCTAGGACAGTGAGCGAGGGTCCCAAGGAACAGTGGTATAGCAAGCCTAGAAGCTGCCATTTCAGACTGGAATAGCCCAGAAGGTTCCTAGAGATTTCTTCAAGAAAATGAAATTTATAAAAGATTTATACAATAAGAGAGTTTGAGGTTGAATTAGAAATAATTACATAAGAAACTTAGCAAATGAATAAATAAGGCAATTATTAATTCTAAGAAAAAAGTAAAACTTTTTCAAGAAAATGAAAAGATTCATAGAATCTGAACCACAAGAATCAGCTGTGATAAGTATTTGCATTGAATAAAGTAAATGTTGACTACTGCTGTAACAGAATTTGGGGGAATGGAAGGAGAGGGAATTGTGAATGTATCTATGGTGGGTTGGGAGCAGAGGTTAAAAGAATAAAATGCCTACTGAAATGGCTAATCAATAATGCCCAAAACTGAAAAAATCAAGCTGTAGCAATACCAGAAGAATCACCTTTTAAAAAGACACTTTATTACTGTTACAATAGAAAATATATGACCTACAGAGAGATGCTCCGAGTGTGGTATGGAAGACCTTTAAACATGAACACTGTTCTAAGGCAGGCATGTTTCTTAAGTGGTTAACCCGCGGTGCCCATTAGAACTCGTTTGGGGACTTTTGGAAAAGTCCCGATGCCCTGGCCCCACCTCAAGTTTTTGATTTAATTGATACGAGGTGGAACGCGGGCTCACAGAGTTGAGGACCCTCCTTTATGTATTTAATTCTAAGCAACCTCACAAGGTAAGTTGTTTTTTGTTTGTTTTGGGGGTTTGTTGTTTGTTTGTTCGTTTGTTTTTTTAGTGAAACCGCATAGCTCATTGTAGAAAATACAGAAACATATAATTTACTAGCTCATTATCCCACACTGAAGACTTTATCTCCATCCTTAAATGGTTCATTCTAATTTTTTCTAAGAACTAGAGCACGTTCCTACATAACCACAATACCATTAGTCCTCCATTTTTGACCAATTTATTTGTATTATCTGTCTGGCCTTTGATTACAATAGCCTCTGAAACTCCAGTTTTCTTAGAGAACCACCTGAAAATTCTGACTTCTTGTCTCCTTCTGGGTTAGAAATATAAAAATAATTACTTTCGCTTCAGGAAATTCCATGAAAATGGCCCTACCTCCCAGGCATTTCCTGAGTAAGCTGAGAAGTCCCTTTCGGGTCAGGTGCATCTCACGTTTTACATCTGTCCTAAAAATAAAATGCAAAGAACTGGACAGGTCCTCAAAGGATATGACCAAGGGTTTATTGATGACTGAAATGGAGTGGCTTCCTTGATTGGTCAAGACCTACCCACGTCCCCACAAGTAAACAAGTGTTTCTTCTGTCATTTAACATTAAAGATGGCTTATCTACATGCTCAAAAACCCTTTTTCTTACTGGCTTTACTTATTTAAGACTCAGCTGAAAAAAATAAAAAGACTCAGTTGAAATTGATCTACTACTTTCTCCTTAGCTTGTGTTACTTTGTTCCTTCCAGTCCTAGATTTTTCTCCGTATTTCATAAATATCATACTTAAGTATGAGAATTGAATCAGGGACTTCACCTATGGTGAAGAGAACCCTTTGGGGGGTTTTGGGGGTTTGGGTTTTGGGGTTTTTTATTGACAGTGTATAATGGCCTTTCCAGACAGTGCAATGTCACAGAAAGTGTTAATACTATTGGAATGGCCCTGGCTGATGTGGCTCAGTGGATTGAGTGCCAGTCTGTTAACCAAAGGTCATTGGTTTGATTCCCATTCAGGGCACATGCCTGGGTTTCAGGCCAGGTCCTTGTTTCAGAGCGTGTGAGAGACAGTCAACTGATGTTTATCTCTCTCACATTGATGTTTTTCTCCCTTTTTTTTCTCTCCCTCCCCCTTTCTCTGAAAATAAATAAATAAAATCTTTTTTAGGGAAATACTATCAGAATGTCTCACTTAACGGGATTCCCTTCTGGGGTGATGATAATGTTCTGGAACTAGATAAAGATGAACAAATATCACTAAATTATACACTTTAAAATGGTAAATGTTATGTGTATTTTCCAAGACTTACAAAATCTCCTTATCCTCTCTTTGCTTTGAGGGGTTACAAAAGTAGGTTCTTTGTGCAGATTCCCTTCCTGTCCCAGGCCAGTTTGCAGCCAATTCCCAGGCATTCTCATCAGGACTAGCCATTTTACTAAGTTTCTCTGGCAAATGTTTTGTGCCAGGCTGGCCTCCCCTGCTTTACTGGCTGTTCTCCTGATTCCTCTTTGCACCATGGGTTTGCAAGTGTTCAGAGCATAAAATCTACTTTTCAGATTAGCCTCAACAAAGCATAAGGAAATGAGGTAGTCCATTAGCACTGACATTAAAAGGAAAAAGTAACCCTCAAATTACCTTAGTTTTCACACTTTTGAAAGCAATGGACCCATTTCTTATAGAATATTGTATCTTAAAACCACAATAAACATATATGATAAGTCACCCTCCACCCCTGTGTCCTTCCCAGCAACCCCCAGGGTGCCTCTGGTTACATTTGAAATGTACTGTTCAAGATCAGAGGGTTTTTTTCCTTCACTGCTTGTCTGTATGTTTGTTTGTAAGCATTTAAAGACATTTACAGAAAAACCTCCTTAAATCACATATAAAGGTTCAGAGTTGGAAAGAAACAAAAGCTATATTTCCCGACATACCTACAGAGCACTTGCCAGCACTCTGTGCGTGATGGGGACAGTTAAATTGGATACAGAAATACACACACGTAACACATAAGTATCTGTATTTATATTTTAGGAAGTATCTTAAAATACATATATGTTCATAAGAGAAGATCTCTTTTAATCTCCCTACTTTGAAATACTTTCAGTATTTGAGGTATGCATGTGAAATATGCATTTCAGTATTTGGTGTATGTTTTAAAAGTAAAAATCAGGTGCTAGAGAGACTGCAGCTGAAAAGGACTTCACTCCTGTTGGGTCTGCACCTTCTGTGTCTCCCCCGAGACAGAGGACAGCTGTGCTTCATCAGAAGTCCTTCTTGGGTATGACGAAAGAGTTCAGAAGGAATTGGCACGTTCTTTGTGACTGAGAACTACCGTATGTGGTGCAGACCCATGCTCTTGGCATTGCATCTTCCCACGGCAGAGAACAACAAGCAGCACAGTGGAGAATTGACGGTCTCTCTCAGCAGTGTCTAACTCACCAAGAAACACTTACTACATGAGAAATTTAACTTACCAGTTGAGAATATGGAAGTGATTGACCATTAAGAGGACATTAGGAGGACTTATGATAATTTCTTAAATAGTAATATGTTAAGATCTAATCGATGTTTATAAGAAAATATATTTTCAGAAAGGAGCAGCAATGAATATGATTCCATTTTGGAATAAATTGGGCTATTTGCCTCCATTCTGTTGGTATTTTCAGTTTCAAAACGGGATACAGTGGAGAAATTATGTTAGTTAATTTACTTATTTTAAAAGTTTCTTATTTTTACTTTCTATTTTAAAATTGTTACCATATACAAAAAATATACACAGCATAAATACATACTATAATGGCATAGCGAGAACACTTGTGTAACCACAACTGACATCAGGAAATACAGCATTACCACCATCCCAAAAGCCTTTGGTGTCTTCATGAATCACAAAAGGCTCTGTCCCTAATCAAATGAAAACTTGACTAGATTTATTTTAACTCTGGTATTAGCATTTATTGTAACTTGATAATGCTTTCACTTTTTGGGTCATGTTAATGGAAAATTTAGCTACTTTCAAGTATTTCATTACTTGAAAGAAATATTTTGGTGGTAAATTTTGTTGTATTATTATTATTTGATTGAAATGTAAGAATAGATGCTTATTAGATAAAGTTTTAACAAGTCAATCCCAAATGCATGATTTCTTTTTGTTATGTTAAGATTGCTTTTCTATTCTATTTTCTTGGCTTAATTTGCATATCTTCATTTGGCACGTTGTTGTATAAATGATTGCAACTGATTAATGTTTATCTTGCACATAGATGTTTTTCTCCCTCCCTTCCCCTCTCTCTAAAAATAAATAAATGATAGCTATGACTCTATAGATTAATAATATTATTTTGTAAGGATGAGATAATATAACTATTCTCTTTTTTGCACACACATATTCACGGTCTTTTTTTTAATGGAGTATAAATTTTAAAAATTAATGGAGTAACAACCCTTGATGTTGGGTTTTGTCCATATTAGAATTAATAAACTGATTTAGAATATTCAAAAAAGTTAAGTGTACTATTTTATAATCTGATTTTATCCCTTATCAGAATATTTTTGTGTTAAATGAACGTACATGTTTGAGTCTCTGGTGAATGAGATGTCTAATAAATTTTTCATAAAAATAAAATATACTGTCATAGATAGCTTCTGACTTTATACAACTTATCTCTCTCCTGTAGAGTCTCAGCGGGAATTCAATAGTAGGCCAGCAACAGGATATGTACCTGTGGAGTTTTGGAAAAAAACTGGTATGTGTCTGTCTGCTTATATAAGGTTGCATGTACTGGTTTGTGCCAGTGTGTAACACTGATTTGATAGAAAGATTGTTGTCTCATACCGTCCTCCTCATAGGCTCCTGCCTCTTCCTCTCCAGCTGCCCCACACATCTGAATGCCTCCCATGTTACTTTGCAGGTCAAGAATTTGGAATGCCTCCCTACAGTCCATCCAGGTCCCTTTCACTCTCTTCTTCTGGGTCACACTGAGACATTAAGTAACCAACTCTTCCTTCCCTATTTATATGCCCTGTTTCTGTGCATATAGTTTAATTCATTTCTGCCTGTTCTGTTCAGTAGACTCTATACACACTGTGTTCACAAACTACCACATTTCATTCATTCTGCTCTTGAAACAGCCATCTGTTCTTCCTTTCATCTTCATTGCCCCTGGCTTCATCAAGACTGTTTTTGGGGGGGCCTCAATTTCTACAAGAATAAAGAAGGGTGGAACTGCCTGTTGTGGTAAGATAGGGGATTAAACTAAGCTCACATCCTTGATACTTCCCTTATCCAAATACTAGCTGCCTTTTCTTCTTGCCTCCTTTTCCCAGTAACATTTAAGTCCAACACAGTTTTTGCTTTTCTTCCTGACATAAAATTTGCTTCAGCAGAAAGTTAATACCTGTTGTTCATAAAGACTTTCAAGAGCCTCAAGACCATAATAAACAAATGGACAAAAGATATGAACAAATTTATGAAAAATACAAATAAACATATTGTAAAAGTTCATTCTTACTGACAATAAGAAAAATTACCATGCACAAGATCTCTTTGGTAATGAGTTCTTTTCTACCTTGGAGGTACCTCTGGTTAACTATGGTTAACAACCAGGCTGTGGCATTGGGCCAGCTAAATTTGAGTCTTTGTTCTGCTATAATGCCATCTGTGTATGACCTTATGTGACCTTCAGCAAGGTAGTTATCCAAACTGTGATTCTTATTGATCTTTAAACTGAGAGGATACATGTTCTTCAGGGGATTATTATTTTGGCTGATTAAGAGAAACAGTACCTACCTGATAACTAATAAGAGGACATGAGAGGTAGCGGTGGTGGGCCACAGCAGACCTGTGTGGACAGCAAGAGCAAAGGAAGCACGGAGTGTCAAGTCAACATCATTCTTGCTTGACCTTTGAAGTGAAAATTCTTAAGGCTGGAGCAATGAAATGGAAAGTTCTAGGATGGCAGCCTAGAACACTCTGTCCAAACCTCCTTTGAGCCTAGGCCATGTCCAAGAGCCAAGCAGTGAGGGAGTTTCCATCCTTGTCACAAGTGGGAGGTCATTTACATTGGGACTTAGGGCTGAGGCTCAAGTGCAGAATGTGTCGTTTGGAGTGCCCATCCTGTGGAAACCAAGCAGGATGGCGATGATGGGAGGGAGTGACCAGGAACCAGTGAGCTGACAGTAACTGGGCAGGGCATTGGAAGCCCAGGGTTCCTGGCAGGCTGCCCAAATCTGTATCTACAGCCCATTTTTCTCTCCCTGGGTCAGTCTTACCTTCCTATCTCCTGTTCATTTGTAGCTGGAGGCCCCAGAGGCACTTCAGCCTCGCTTGCCTGCACACCAGCATTTTGCTTTATATCCACTTCAGTGCACAGCACCACCATTCTTCACCTCTACCTCCACCTTCAGACCCTCGATGCTACCAGTCTCGTTCTGCCCCATCCCCTCTGTGCGACTTGTTTCTGCCTAAATTCAGAGTCTCTTTTATCTCTTCTTCTAAATTACTGTTCCCATCTCTCAATTGGTATCTCTGTCTTAAGCCTTTTCTTACATAGAACCCATTAAGAGTTCAATTTCTTTAGAAAAGGGGCCAGAGTCCTTAGCATAAGATGCAAGACTTTCCAAAAATTCATTTATACCTGTCATCTCAACCAAGACACATTTTCTTGATCCTCCCCTGTCACTTGTAGAGCTGACCACTTTCCCCTTGGGTCTCATACCGACACCTAAGCTACCTGTATACTTGATCACAAACAGTTATGAGAACATGGACTACAACTTAAGTCACTTAGGTGTTCCCACTCTCTAGCACAGTGCCCACCTCCATCTCTGCAGCCAACAGATAGTTGCATGAATGGACAAGTGAGTAGAAGAATAAAAGCTGAACACTTATGTTTCTATCTTTGTGTTTTTTTAGGAAACAGTCATCTTGTTTCCATTCTGTCCCTTTTTAGAAATGACGTGGGGTGGGAGGGTAAAGATTTCTCGGCCAGTTGATTTTATTGTCACTTTCTTCTAGAAGAAGCTGTGAATAAGGTGAAAATTCAGGCCATGTCGGAAGTACAGAAAGCCGTTGCTGAGGCAGAGCAAAAAGCCTTTGAAGTGATTGCGACAGAGAGAGCTCGAATGGAGCAAACCATAGCAGACGTCAAACGGCAGGCGGCGGAGGATGCCTTCCTCGTCATAAATGAGCAAGAAGAGTCAACAGAGGTCAGACTTCTGTTAGTCCTGGGGGCTGCGCTGGGGCAGCTGGCCTGACCCAACTCACTGCTCTCTTTTCTAGTACTAAGCAGTAAGATAGAACTGTCCTCTCAAACTAGACTATTATGATTTTTATCCGGTACCAGAGGGTTTCATATGGAAAAATCATACAATAATTAACAATAATACAAGAATAAACTTTCGCATACTCAAAACTGTAAACCTACTTTTGCCCTCCCCTGTTCTCTATTCTTGTATTAGCTTACTATATTGGTTTAAATTTTGGAAACTCACTCTAAAGACAGAGTTTGTGGAATTGCATGATAATAACGACTTTCCCCTTGAGATGGGCTTATTTGCTTTGTGCCAGCCATGGGGCCAAGTGCATGTATTGTTTTTTTGATCCTCACAATGACCCTATGAGGTGGGTGTTGGATTCTAATCTTTACAAGTGAGGAAACAGTGGATTAGGGAATTCAACTGACATGATCCCACAGTTCTGAAGCCAGGGTGCAAGAGTTGGGAAATGAAGGCCCCTATAGCGTCTGGTCTACTTGTAGTAAATAGGGTGGTCCTTTTATGGATTGAAGTGACAGATGAGGCAGACCTGCCCAACTCTCCAAGACCCAGGGCCCAGGAATTGGTGATGCTTCTAAGGGAAATGACTCTCTTGTAGAACGATGAGGATAAAAATGAATTGGGGGTGCGGGGGAACATGACAAAAACACCATAGCAGTCCTTTTCAATATAATGAAGTTTTTCTGTAACTTTAATTGCTTTTCAGCTTTAAGAGTCCTAAGCAAGCCTGTTTTTGTTTTTTTGTTTTTTTCCTATGTAAGTCGTGTGATTAGCTATCTTTGGGACATTCTCTTGAAGTTGTAAAGAACTGTGTATTTTACTGGTTTTGTTTTTTTCTTAAATTTAAACAACAGGAATTTTATTTTCTCAATCTATTTAAATGATGCCTTTCAATATAGCAATGCCAAGCATGGCAATGTAAATATGGAAATGTAAGTGTCATATGGCCATATCAAGAGTATGTGGAAAAATTCCTCACTCTAGCACTGTAATGAAGGCACTGAAGTGTGAAGAAATAGTTCCGTCAATTTACCTCATAGACTCTCTAGTGAACCTGGCGTCAAAGGAGTGAATGGTTATATTGGTGAGAAAGTAATTTCTCCAAATCCGCACGACAGTTTTTTACTTGCATTCAGAAATGTATGCTGCATTGGGTGATCAGAATTCATATTTGAAGTTTAGACTCAATGGGGGGAAAAGGAAATAGTTTCTTTAACTCTTCAATAGTTTCTTTATCTTCTCCCCTCCTGCTTTTTCTTTAGAATTGTTTCTGTGCAAATGATTTCTTCTTCTGTTGTGTGTATTCTATATCTATAGCTATTCATATCAATATCTATATTTGTCCATATTTATCTACTTTTATATCTGTGTTTATATTTTCTATGTGTTTCCCCAAAGAAGGAGTGTAACACTTTGGCTAAGAACATGAGTTCTAGATCTGGACCACAGCATGATTTAAATCCCGGACCTCCGTTTATAGGAGTCTGCTTTTAAGGAGTTGTAATTTTAAACATTGTATGTATTTAAAGTCTAGCAGGGTATCCCTGGAGTTTGTTGGTCGTCCTGTGAGGTGGCCTGGATGGCAGAAGGAGCCCGGAGTTCCTGCCTTGTTGCCCCGCACACTAACAGTGTGTGTCCTTAAGGAATCAGTTTCCTTCCCTGTGTAGTGGGTGTGTGGCAGCCCCGCCCTGCTGGTCTCGTAGTTTCTCCAAAAATACAATTTAGTCGTGACTGTGCAAGTGTCCTTACGCTGCATCGCACCGCATTGCAGGCACTGTGTAGATGGAAAGGGTGTTATTATGCAGTTGACGACTTGCGTGTAAGCCGTGGCAGCCCCTGCCCCGGTGGAACAGCTGCCTCCCCAGCACCTCCCCTGGAGTTAGAAAGGGCTGTGGGGCCAAGTGGTTTCCTCCCACTTGGAGGAATGCTGACTTGAAGGGCAACTACAACAATAAACTTTTTATGTCTTATTCCTTGGCAAAAGCCTCGTGGTTGAGTCATGAAAAAATCAAGGGAAAGGGAACATGACAGTCTCCTTTCACCCCAGCCGCTCTGACACTTACCACATCGTTCCTGCATGTCTCTGATCCTGCCTCAGTGGGAGGCTGTTTATTTTGTTTTTATTATATGTCATAAATTATGAAATAAGCTATTTTAAATAGAATGGCAGCCAAGGTGAAAGTACCAGTGCTTGAGCATCCTGGCCCAGCCTGAGACGTTCTTGCAGACTTGGACAGAGGCCGTAGACAGCCTCCCGCTGGGCTGGGGCTGACCCGTTGGCTGTGTTTCCACCCCAGCGCCGTGTAGACAGGCGGCCACTGAGGCCTTCCCCAACGCGGTAATGTGCTGCCAAAGCATTGGTGGGAGTCAACGTCTGTCAGACTCCAAAGTATTAAATTCTCTGGAATGCAGTTTGCTTGAGCCCTAAGAACTACTTCAGTTTCCTATTTTGGTCCTCTGGTGTTGGTGTTGGTGAGGCAAGTTTGAACAGCCCCTAGCCTGTGTTTCCCAAGAAGCCTGTTGTGTTAGAAGGGAGTACACAGCCCTTTCTAATGTTCTTTGAAACTAAACTTATGCAGTGGGAATAGTGGGGTCACAAGGTTCGGCTTCCAGGCTTGGCATGGCCAAGTAATCATTTTATAACCTTAGGCAAGTCCCTACCCACTGGCCCTCAGTGTCCCATCCGTATAATGCAAGAGGGAGGCCAGGTGGCCCTTTTTAACATTTATTGTCCACTGTTTTTCACTTGAGCAAATGTCCTGATTTCATGAGGGATAGTGTCTTTCTCCTCTAAGGAGTGGTCAGACCAGGCCTTGTGATTGGCTTCTGCCATTCTGGGCTTGGGAAGGGAGGGGCTGTTCAAGTCTTTCCTGATACCTAAGAAATCCTTGCCACTTCCTGATAGCTTCTTCTGGCCAATGCCAAAAGGCTTTTCTCTTCCTGTAAGTGGATCCTGGAGACCTTGGGTGCAGAAAAGGCACCCGAGTCACTACTGGAGTCACCACGGGAACCCAGAGGAAAGGAAGGAAAGAGTACCCAGGGGAGGGTGCTGGGAGCTGCACTTGGTGGCTACATTCTTCATGATGCTGAAGCTTAGTACTGGCCGGCGACTGTCTCAGTTGCTTCTCTCATGACTGGTACTTCTAGCTGCAACCACACCTCACGTGGTTTGTATCCTCTGTCAGAGAATTAGAGCATTCTCAAACGGCGTACTCTCCCGGCCCCTGGCTCCTCCACCATTGTGTTTTCTGCCGAACCCTAGCAATGCCGGTCCCAAAAGTGCAGAGTAGTAAGAGAACTCCCTGACCTAGACCTGGTGCCCTGAGATACTGTGGAGGCTCCTGCAAACAAGCCAGAAGTATCCTCACGACCTTCAGCCCACCTACGACAAGGCACGTCTCTGAAAGGAGTGGACACAGTGGAAGTGGCACAACCACCCACACTCCTGTTCAGCCATTCCGGTCTCCTGGCTGGTGACTTTTTGTTAAAAATCAGGTGTTATCAGTGAAAATAAGATTATTCCTCTGTTGGGGAGACCAAGAGAGAAAATCATGTGTGGTCTTAGAGTAGATAGCTATGGTGGGGGGCCCTGGAACAGACTTCAGTTTGGTTGCCGAGGAATAAAACATGAGTTGGTGCCTTCAGCAGGAGGTGAGACTTCCACCTGCCCTGTGATGATGCTGTTTATGTGTTTTTACATCCCCCTCTTCTCTCTGTCCCCTCAATCAGGGTAGATGCTCTTCCTGTTTTATTCATGAAACTCAGAAAGCAGATGACAGTAGAGGTAGAACAAGCACAGGTATGTGTAGCTCCCAGCCCAAGCTCTCCCTGTGCGGGCCCCTCTTCTGCAGTGCAGGTGACAAGTGATGACGTCTGCCCCACAATATCCACGCAACTAACTGATGCCTGTGTCTTGCAGAACTGCTGGAACTGTGGCCGCAAAGCCAGCGAGACCTGCAGTGGCTGCAATATAGCACGATACTGCGGCTCTTTCTGCCAACACAAGGACTGGGAGCGGCACCACCGCCTTTGTGGCCAGAACCTGCACGGCCAGAGTCCTCACAGCCAGAGCCGGCCACTGCTTCCTGGAGGGAGGTCTGCCAGGTCTGCCGACTGCAGCGTTCCAAGCCCAGCCCTGGACAAGACCTCAGCCACCACCTCGCGTTCCTCAACACCTGCCTCTGTGACAGCCATCGACACCAACGGACTCTGAGCCCCAGGCTCACTTCCCCCTGATGACCTCACAATATGAAGGCTGGCTGTTTGGACCAGTACAGGTAGCTGTTGGGTCATCAGCAAGAAGTGAAGTGGAGGCAGAAAGAGTCCAAGCCCAGTAAACACTGCGTCGCAGCCTCTGCAGACACTTGCCCCAGTTTCCCATCTGTGTCCTTGGGGGAGCTAGAGTCTGTTCTCTGCACACAGGCAGCTGGCTGGAGTTGCCTCCTCCAAGGCTTTCTGGTTTGTTCGTCTCCCCGCTGGAGCTGGCGTGACCGGCCTCTTTTCAATGTAGACCACCAGCTCCCCTCCCAGCCTCTTGGGGCAGCAGACTGTCCAGCGTGCCCAGCCAGGCTGGGAGCAGCTTGCCCAACACACCGTCTCCTACTCTGCCGTCCTCCCGTGAGGCCTAGAGGCTGGCAGCAGGCCGTGGAGGAGGTCCCCCCGACAGGGAATGGCCCCTCGCGCTCCCAGCAGCTCGGATGGGCCCCCTGTCCACCCTCAGCAGATGCCACTGATGGGCCCCACAGGGACTTCGGGGAGGCAAAAAGCAGCACTCAGGACTCCCTTGACCCTGATGTTCAGACTTTTAAAGATTCTCAGAAACCACAGGAAAGTTACCATTTCAGTAAAAGTACCTGTAACAATAAAATATTAATAAAACTTCCACCAAGCATCACAGAGAATTTTGGACAAGATTTTCCAGCCTGGCTGGCTACTTTAGTTTGGGACCCAGTTTTCTCTCTCTTGTTTGATTTTGCTTGTGCAGAAAATAGTTTCCAGCGCATGGATTGGTCTGAGGGAGAATTAGACTCAATCTTTGATAAGTCTGTTCTCTCTGAGCATGTTGGCCAACTACTATCGTCAAGTTATTGAATGGATCATCTATTGGAAACGCAGAACCTTTTGTCACCACTTGGCTGTTTGCACAGTCATCTTGTTCTGTGTCCTTTTATCAGACCACGCGTGTCCAAATCACTGTGTGGATCTTCTTCCTGGGGTCTCTTTTTGGCGCCTGTGAAACCACAGTTGCGCCATAAGATATGATGTCGTGTGACCAGGCCAGTCACTTCTGAGCAGCCCTCCTGGACATGAAGGAATTCTTCAGACCTCGTGGTTTCACGTCATTATACATAGTACGTCAATTTATTATTGGGCAAACAGTCTCAGATTCCCTTGTGTGTTTGATAAGTACCCTCTTTGAGCTAAGAAATGTTACGAAATGTGAGAACTATTTTGAGAGAGCCTGACCAATTTTTCTTCCTGTCTTCAGGGAGTTTTCCAGCTGCTGATCTGGCTCTCCAAATAGGACATCACCTAAACCCCATTTAAAGCATTAAGAACTGCCAGACACATTTCCCCTGCCCTTCGGGCTTTGTTGGGAGCCCAAGGACTCTGACCTTTCCATGCTCCACCTCCGTGCCCCCAGCACCTTCTCTCCCCACGGACTCAGTCAGGGCGGGTAGGTTGGCCCCGCTGCAGCTGGCACTTGAAAGCCCAGCTTCAGGCAGCCACCTTCCGTGCACCGACAAGAGTGAGAAAAGCTCTCAGTTCCATAAAAGAGCAGTAATCAGCATGGGTAGCATTTTCCTTCCATTTGGTGTATCTTACTTTATGAGTTTTTACTACCTAATTTACCTTACCCAAGGATTTCCTATCTTACAAAGAAACTCAGTACAACACACCTTTAAAATACCTGCATTTCCATTGCACAAAGTAAAGTATACCCAGACGGAATAACAGAGTAATGTTACATTAATTTAGAACTCTGGAAGCTGCAGTGGTCAGTGGGGTGTTACAACTTTAACAGGGATGAAATCGGCGCCACACACAGGACTTGCCTACATTTAGGTTAAGATGTGGGATGTCCCATAAGGAGATCCGGGAGCCTATAAATCAGATATAGCAAGGTCAAGTGGTGTCCACTCGGTCTGTCTGCAGCTCGCTCACTGTCGTCTTTTTGGCAAGTCGGATGAACACCTATGCAGGCAGGTTCTTTAATCTTCAGTGGCCACGGGGTAGCTCAGATTTTTCCTGGAATAAACACCCAAAACCAACAAAATACTATTCATCACAATTTGATGTCTTTTTTTTTTTTTTTTTTTTTTTTTTTTTTTTTTAAAGCAAAGGTTTAGGTTTAGTTGTGCAGGTCCCAGCTGACTGTGGGCTCTGGTTCCAATGACAGCTTAGTTTTCAGGGTTTTTGTAACGCTCTTCCTCACTCCTTTGCTCACGTGCTACCCAGAGCCCAAGATGAAAACCTGGGCAGTATTCCGCGCTGTAGTTGAGTTTTCAAACCTGCTGCTGTGTTCATTTTGGTCAGTTTCACAGGTAGGTTGCAGGCATCTGTCCAAGACTTCATGTTTAGATGCAAAGAATCCCTTTCTCTAGCTCTCTCCTTTCTGAAATTCTCCAGCCATCTGGTGGAAGGAGGAAGGGCAGTGTCTTCAGGTGGGAGGATGGGGCTGGAGAGGCAGAGTTGGTGCCCCACTTGGTTTTCAGTTTCTGCTGACACCACCCAGCTACCAGGCTGGGGTGCCAGTTCAGGCTTCCCACTTTTATCCAGTAGAATTTTAATCAGGCTGCATAGAGGACCAACTTTTATAGTTAATATTTGAGGGGACAAAAAGGCAGAGGGGTTCCGAGTGATGATACTGAAGGTGGTGTCAGGGCAGTCGCAGGCTCTTCGAAGATTAATCATAGAAATCAAAGGCAGCTGTGACACGCGCCTGCCCAACTGTCGGAGCACATGGAGGGGATGAGGCCAGTGTTCAGCCTCCCCCGTTGAGGGACACTGACAAGTGACAGGATATCATTGTGCAAGCAGTGAGGAATGCTTGCAGGAACCGGAGAAGACCAGAAGTGACCAGTGTGGTAGCCACTTTCAAATGTTCCAAGGGGCACTTGGGGGCTGGACCCTGACATCTCCGGGCATCCTCTGGGTCTCCGCTGCCTGCAGCAGGCCTGACTCCATCCACGGATGAAAACCGACTCTGGAGGGAGCTTGTTAATTCTACCCGCACAGAAATAGCCATTCTACCTTAATGAGGTGCGAGTGCTCTGCTTTGGAGGGCTCACGCTGCCCTGGGGTCACGGGGAGCGGATCTTTTCTTGGACAGCGCTGAGTCGCGCTGAGTCGCGTATGTATGTCTCAGTGGCTCTAAGTCTGGCAGCAGGATACAACTACCAGCATCAGCGTGCCCTCTGCCTGCTGATGTTCTTTGCCCATCCAGGCCGGTTAGTCTACCAGGAGCTCATCCCTTCACTTTATATGGCCTTGTTCCAAAGTCAAGTTTATACTCAGTGCTCCCACCTGCTTGCAAAGGGTATAGACCTTGTTCTGGGTAGTTCCAGAAAATGTCAGCAAGTGGATTTGAAGGATCAACAACACAAATTAGAATTGTGTGGTGTGAGTTCTTCAGAAAGAAAGCATAGGTAATGACCAGGCGGCTGTCTTGGAAGTTGTGGAAGGGATTCTGGATTGAATAAATCATTTAAAATAGAACACATCTTGGAGGCTTTCTTCAGAACTGGTTTCTAGACTCCCAGGTCAGTAGACCAAGTCAACTTTCTTAAATTTATTACTCTTATTTTTTAGCTATTTGCAGAGAACTGGGTGGTGGTATGTTTGAACCAAACGTGAGAAAGCCAGAGGAACGGGGGCTGTTGCGGCGTGGGCCGGGCAGCCGGCTGTCAGGAAGAGCCCCGCTAGGGCGGGGTGGGGTGCTGGGCTAGCTGCCCAGTAGGGCCCTTCCAACTCTGGGTGTCTACTTGTTGCGAAACCAAAATGTTGACTCCCTGCCTCTTTGCCCAGATGCACTGACATGCTCATTTCCAAAGACGATGGTGCAGGTGACCTTTTCCACTAAGAGCCAGGAGAAGGTTAGGAGACCCGAGGGCAGCAGACTTTGCATGCCCCCCTTCCCTCTCAGCCTCAGAGATGGTGCTTCCCCTGCAGACCCCACCTGGTCAGACCCACTACTGCCCAGTGTGCATTCATTGATGCTTATACCAAATAGGGCATGTGTGGCCGGTGGCTGGCAGGGACAGCCTTGTCCCTGCGTTGGACTTGGCAGAGAGGCAGCAATAAGCATTAGGTGAATGGCTGAAAGTGCTATTTGGCTAAGAGGCCTTCAGTCTACTTTCGCACCTTTCCAAGTTCCTGATGAGGCTACAAAAGCTCCGTTTATAAAAGAAAGCCAATAATGTAAATAAATTTAAAAACTAAGCCTCCAAGCATGATTTTTAAAGGGAGATGATGAATGTGAAACCACCCACAGGATGCGGTAGAGTCTGGTTTTTCTGTGCTTTGTCATTTCTATGATAGGAACTTTTGTTACTTAACTCTGTGCATAACTTATTTAATGTACTGTAAAATGAACCAAAACTGTTAAATATGTATTTAGTTTGTTCTACTTAAAGTAGTCAATAAAAAGGCTATATTCCTTTTTTGACTCAAGCTGGAATACAGCTGGGAGGGAAGGTGGTGTCCTTCTGTGTCCTCTCCTCCTTCCCCAATCTTTGTCTGGAAGGTGGGGGTGGGGGGACCTCCAGCGGTCATTGCTGTACCTGAAGAGCACCCAGGGGCATGAAATCAGGATCTACTGCTAAGGAGATGGTTCCCGCTGAGGGGCCCAGGCCCCACCGCGCCTTGATTTTGCCTGCCCACCTGCAGTTAAGTGCCAATAACAGTACTGGTACAGATGCTCCCAATTCCCTGTTAGCTCCTTCACTCTTAAGTGATGTAACAAGGACTCTACAACCACAGAAAGTGTGAAAACTTTCATATCCTTTTCACACCGATGTTAAATCATAAGTTTACTATTGACTTGCTTAATGGTCATGTGATTTAATCAAGGCTATAATTTTCCTAACAGTTTGTCTCCTGTTGGGCAGTTGGAGTGCTTTCCCCATTTTCCCTGTCCAGCATACTGAACTAAATGTCTTTGCTAGATTTCTTTGGGTTTTTTGAAATGGGATTTTTACAATACTTCTTAGATCCCTGAAAGCCCACCAGTTTGCTGTGTCTCCAGCAGGTCCTGGGTCGTACTTTCCAGGGCTGTACGATGGTTTAACCAGCCGTGAGATGACACAGATTTGAGCAGGCACACCTGTGCGCACGGAATCCTGCTCTGTCGGTCCAGTTTCTTAGCCGATGACCTGAGGCCTCACTTCCTAAAGCTCTAGCCCCAGCCTCACTGTTGCCTGAACACCCAGTTCTGGCCTCTGCCCTCCTAAGCAGCCTTGCCCAAAAGGTTCACTGGCACCACCAGCTTCACAGGCCTCCAAAATGTAAAGGGAAGAGCTGGCTGCTAGAGCTCAGGGCGGGGAGAACAGCTGGGCTGTGGCCTTAGCCCCAGAAGGCAAGGTGGGGGCTCAGATGTGTGACCTTTCAGGCACATGGGGCCAACTGCCAGCCTGCCCACAGCTGCCCAGCACTGCAATCCACCACCCAGAACAATTACAGGATCTCGGCCTGGTGACTGTCAGCGCACCACAACAACCACACTTGGTAGACAGGTCAAGAATCCACAGTCCGCCTTAGCTCTGGAAAAGAAAGGACCCCAGGGACTGTAGTGATACCATAGTAAAATGCTATGTTAAAGTCCTTATGGAAATGGCAGACTGAAAAATTTGCCATTACCACGAAACACCCAGATGCAGGATAAATTTTAATGATTGCGCTT